GGTACTTGCAGTCTTAAAAAATGTATGAACAATGAATGTATGAACAATTATATACAATATTTAATTCCAAGACCACTGATGTTGGGTATTTGGCTATACTCGGAACGGCTGTATGGTCAGCCAAAAATTCAATTAATTAAAATAATATAAAAATGAATTTTTGTTGTTGTATTTCACTACCGTTCGAAAAAAACTCTTTACAAAATAAATTTCAAATAATTCGTAAATGATATTTATATTCTTTGATATTAAAATCTTTGATTTTTGTTTTTATAACTTAGTTTATCATAGTACTTGAACTCAAACAATTTTCTTTAAGTCCAGAAACCAATATTTCACACCTTCATTGCCCAACGTTGGACGTAATCCAAAAAGACCCTCTACCAGCAGCACCCATTTTTTATATCGTCAATGATCAACGATGCCCTCCGCTAATGCATCCAAGTTCATTGACCGTTGACAAAGCTTCTTTATCTGCACTCCACCGATCGAAAGTCTAGCTTTACGGCGAGTTATCTGAGTTGTCACTAATGTGGAAGCTGGAAGTTGTTCTTTGCTTGAAGTTCCAGTTCCACACCTTTGTACAAAAGCTTCCCTATTTTGACATTTCTTGTTATTATTATTTTGTTTTGATTTTTAACAAAATGTGTTTGCGACATAGTGCCGGTCAGTGTTTTTTTTTAAATAAATTAAAATTTAAAATAAATTTCGTGGTGAGTTGGTTTTGATACTATATTATATAGTAATTACCGATTTTTTTACAGGTGTCTTCGGATTTAATATATTTAATTCATTTAAGTGAGTTTTGCGTTCACATTTTACTTGTGTTGTTTTTGTCTACAAATTGTGAAATGTGTTTGGTTTTGTGTCAGCCATGCTCGCGGCGTTGTAACGATTCAATTTTTATTTGATAAAATTTTAGTCGTTACAAATTGTTGTGTAATTATGAAATAATGCCATACATATTATTAGATTTAAATTCAACTTAATTACATCGTTTCAAAATCCCCTAGATTGACATACTATATAGTCGACGCTTAGTGCAGTTGCTCCAATGGTTTTATTGACGCTGTTCTGTTGTTTTTAAACAATTGAATAGGAGAAAATTCACTGCTTTCAAGTCAAACCTTGGATTGATAAGTGAAGTCTGTTTACCGAAGTCTGTTCCATCGAAAGCAACCGCTGATCGTTGCTGTTTAGTCTTTAAGGGAGGTCGTATAGACACTATATTTTTGTTGCTTAAACCATATGGTTACGTAGGAAACTGCAAATATAATTTTACGTATCTTATCAATAATTTTGTTACAGGTCAGTCTTTTATAAATCTGACACTTTTTCGACGTTATCATCTCCAATTTCGCTGAAATTTTTTTTATGAACTCCTTTCATAAAATAAGAATACCCGCATCTCAGAAAAAATTTTGAAATTTTTCTCCCAGAATATATGAACCTATGGGGTTTTGAGAATTAACATTGTAAACGTCCATACCTCAGGCTCTGTAAATGATAGAAACATGAAATTCGCTGCGGTTTAAGCATAAGTGATTGATCTTTTTAGAAAAAGTTTAATCAATTAATATTAATATTAATTAATACTAATCGTAACATTTCGTAACATAGCTTCTTTGTAAAATTGCGTCCAAGTAAGACGCTTTACATATAGGAAGTAAAATTATACATAACAGATCTCTGCATAAAAACAGTTTTAAAATAAATATAACCAACTGCAAAAATATAAGTTGTTTCCAAATAAAGCTGTGGTTTATAATCTCGTTCCAATTTAAAAAGCATGGCAAGTGCTTTGATTAGTGACACTAATTAAATAAAAAGTGACAAAAAACCTGGAACTTGTGCATTGGAAGTTTATATAGCCTTGGCTACTTGTAAAAAGCACAATTAGGCATTATTTGTAATTTGATAGGCACGAATTCTAAGCCTAGAACTTGCAGTCCAACAAACTATATATACGGACTATAAAATTATCAAATAAAAATTCGAATATTTCATAAGAACACTGATGATGAGTACTTGGCAATACTCGAAATAACATTGTATGGTCAGCCAAATGTCAATAAATTTGTCAAATTTCTGTTGTAATAAAGATTTACTGTTCGAACCCTTCTAGTTTCTTTTCGTCATCAACCGTCTTAATCGTTTGATTTCAAAAAAAAAAAAATGTATGTCCCGAAAATTTTCATTTTATATATTAAATTTAGATTCCATGTCAAATTTTACTAGGAAATAATGAAAATTGGCATTATTTTTTGAAATTTTTTTTTGGTTTTTCCCGCACTATACATCCAACATAATAAATCATTGATTGTGAATCTCTGCAATTAGTTTGACGGTTAATATTAGAACTGAGGTATAAATAATCTTAATTGTTTTAACCTCTTTCTAAAAACTTGAGTCAATTATCTTGTCTTATCTTATCAATAAACAAATTTTAAGTTTCTATTATTTATAGAGCCTGAGATACGGCCGTTTCAAAATTTGTTTAGAACGCTAATTCTGAAAATCCCAGATTATATATGGGTCGTATATATAATCAATATATTTATAACGTTATAAATTTCAGTATAATTCACTACTCTCTATGTTTAGATATTTTTATTTATATTCTATAATTAAAGATCGAGTACAATTGGAAATAAATTAATTAAAAGTTTCATGTACTGTATTCTGTATTGAATATAATAATAATTTAAAGCTACTTTAAATAACATATTACAGTAATCTCCCCTATAACGCGGTACCCTTATAAAGCGTTTTCATACTACACGATTTCAAACCCCCGTATAACACTGGCAAATCCACTATAAAATGCGGGGATTTGTACCGTTTATAATTAGCTTTGTGAGCCTTTGCACGTTTGTATATGGGTAATACAGGAATAGCGCTATAATGCGTTTTTCTATAACGTGGAACCAATCTACCGCGTTATAGGGTTGGATTACTGTGTATGAAATATTAAAGTAAATTTATAGTATTTCGTTAATTACGTGCTAGGAACAGGACAATCATAAGAATAATGTGAAACGTTTCCGATTCTTGGAAATGTTAACAATAACGCCCATGTACTTAACAGTTGTATTATATTTACTTTGCAGTCATTGGAAAACTTATAATAAAACTATCTGAAATTTCAATCTGAAGAACTACTACATACTGACGTGATGTGATGCTGATAGAATTTGGACAACAGCAATATGAACAATAAGGGTAAATACATGTTTGAACTTCAACTTAATATCAATTTTTTGAATTGAGACTCTCGAAAGCTATTTTTATAAGTAAATTATTGATGAAAGATACTGTTATCTTTATAGTTACGTATTGTTGCGTCATAACAGACATAACAACGTCCATCAAGGTTTTATCATCATTCGCCAGGAACAGTCAGGAACGTTGTGGATGTAAAGTCGTCATTACAAATTATCCACAGTCGTGTTTTGGATAAAGTAACTTCTACTTAACCAACTATTTATGATAATTCTAGAACTACTAGCGACAACTTATTACTGGTCAGTTCAGGTAACTGTAACTAAGGGCAAACAATATTTATGTGTTTAAAGTCATTTTCACAATTGGATTTTGGGGTTCGTCTTGGTAGTTATGGCTGATACCTGAAGTTACAAATATACCATGCTAGAACATATATTTTTACCAGGTTGCATTTTCAAACGGCTGTTAGGACCTGTGAAACTCTAAAAGGGTTACGTTGGATTGAATCCTTACCCTGAACGGAACTAGAGTGTTGATATTAAGCCATAACTATGTGTGCTTATCTAAATAATTGTAGAAATAAAGTTAATTGAATTGTTGATTTTTGTATAATTTCAAAGTAAATACAAATGTTAATAAATGTATTTTATATAAAACATATTTTTGTAACTTATATAAAATATGCACTTTCAATGCACAAGAGAAACACTAAAGAAATCATTAATGCAATAAATAAGTACCATACTGGTACATATGTATATTGATTGATTGTACACATTTATCTGAGTACTCATTAATGAAATGATATAAAATAAATATAATAAAAAAAAAAAATTTCAAAACTCCGAGCAATGGGAAGAAGTCGTGCCGTATAAACTTAGATCTGCCATATACTTTGAAGAAAGTACCAAATTCAAAAAAAAATAAGTAAAACTTAAGTGCAGTACTCAATGTATTCATATGGTATATTGAACTAACACATTTATGCAGATTTTTTTATAAAAATGATTTTTATTACTTGAAATATATATCTAATATTAGTAATACTAAATATAATAGTGTTCAAGCGATCTATTTACTTGGAAGCACATGCACAAATTATAAATTGTATTTTCTTTTTAATAAAAAGTAAAACACAACTGATTCGTTTTATACTTCTTTATTGAATGATAAAAATGAGAACAATATAACTTATGTCTAAACCTTAAGATCTAAGCATCACTTCCAGCTTCGCTTCTAAACATTACCATAAAAGGCAATGTTTCACAAAAGATACTTTAATGCTGGGCTTGCAATTTGCAGATCTCACTTCCAGCCTTTGCTCTACTGAGCTTATGTTTACAATAAAATGATATATTTACGTTAAATAAGAAATCTGGAAGTGTATGCACTACATTATATATTTAAGGTATATTAGTTAGGGGTAAGACTATGTCACTCAGACGTCATTATACATTAAACAGTCCACTAAATTATATTTAAAATAAATACAATGCAAATTAAATTTTTAGTAAAAACTATTAAATTATAAAAAAACTATTTTTATTTCTTATATTATATTATGACACAAAATATAAACATTATTTATTGTTTAAAATATATTATTTATATTACTTTGTCCGTTTGAGTCGTCACTATTTTATTCCTTTCTTTTGACTGACTTTAGATTTTTATGAAGAATGGCTAAAATCATTTTTGAAAGATTGAAGATTAGATTAAGCAATCGAATTACATTTTCTAAAATTCTTAAAAAATTTCCACCAAATATTAAACATCTATGTGATAATGTCATACTCGTTCTCCAAATATTAAATATCTAGACTGCATATAAATTGAACTGAAACTAAGCTAATCCTCAAAGTTATCAATGCAAATGGATTCTGAATTCTGAATTTTGAATACTGAATTAAGAGGTCAACATATGTATATTTGACTATATATGAAAAATACATCAAATCCATCGGCTGTAATAGAAATGGCATGGACTTGTGTCGGCACAGATTTAAGGTAGGTTTACACTGATAATATTATTAAAGTTAGATAAGTTAATTAATAAAATGATTAAATTATTTATTACAGCTAATTAGAGATATCACAAAATGTTCGTAAAATCGAATTTATCTGTATCAAAAAATCTTTTGGAAATGTTGGTTCATCATGTTTGGGTGGAAGATAGCAGTGAAGGATTGCAAACCATATTTGTGATAATGTCATACTCGTTCTTCAAATATTAAATATCCAGACTGCATATAAATTGAACTGAAACTAAGCTAATCCTCAAAGTTATCAATGCAAATGGATTCTGAATTCTGAATTTTGAATACTGAATTAAGAGGTCAACATATGTATATTTGACTATATATGAAAAATACATCAAATCCATCGGCTGTAATAGAAATGGCATGGACTTGTGTCGGCACAGATTTAAGGTAGGTTTACACTGATAATATTATTAAAGTTAGATAAGTTAATTAATAAAATGATTAAATTATTTATTACAGCTAATTAGAGATATCACAAAATGTTCGTAAAATCGAATTTATCTGTATCAAAAAATCTTTTGGAAATGTTGGTTCATCATGTTTGGGTGGAAGATAGCAGTGAAGGATTGCAAACCATATTTGTGATAATGTCATACTCGTTCTTCAAATATTAAATATCCAGACTGCATATAAATTGAACTGAAACTAAGCTAATCCTCAAAGTTATCAATGCAAATGGATTCTGAATTCTGAATTTTGAATACTGAATTAAGAGGTCAACATATGTATATTTGACTATATATGAAAAATACATCAAATCCATCGGCTGTAATAGAAATGGCATGGACTTGTGTCGGCACAGATTTAAGGTAGGTTTACACTGATAATATTATTAAAGTTAGATAAGTTAATTAATAAAATGATTAAATTATTTATTACAGCTAATTAGAGATATCACAAAATGTTCGTAAAATCGAATTTATCTGTATCAAAAAATCTTTTGGAAATGTTGGTTCATCATGTTTGGGTGGAAGATAGCAGTGAAGGATTGCAAACCATATTTGTGATAATGTCATACTCGTTCTCCAAATATTCAATATCTAGACTGCATATAAATTGAACTGAAACTAAGCTAATCTTCTAAGTTATCAATGCAAATGGATTCTGAATTCTGAATTTTGAATACTCAATTAAGAGGTCAACATATGTATATTTGACTATTTATGAAAACTATATCAAATGCATCGGCAAAATAAAAATAATTAGTTTTAAAATAATAGCTTAAATATATGCAATATATTATACATAAATAAATATATTAAATTTATATTTTAAAATTTTTTTAAAGACAACAGAGGACGTTTCCGTCGTGTTAAGAATGAAGTTAGAAATTATTGTTCTGCTAAAGTTTTTAATTAATTAATTCATCTTTTTGTTTTATTCTAATTTATATGCATTTTACTGTATTAAAAGGAAAGTTTGTTTACAAAAAATACAGACAAAATCTTAGCTGACAATCGAAAGACCTGATCAACGGAAACTCTTTCATTTGGTCTTGCGAAAGACCGTAAACAGCTTTCAGTTTTGCGCAAGATCGCCGTCAGAATACAAATGTTCTTTCAAACGATCCTTCCAAAGATTTTTAAGTGTGGTGACCTGAAAGATCGTTACAAAATTTCCCTGTAAATGTAAATAAAGTCAAAAATAGCATTTTGCTGTTCCTCTATGTTATAATAGTTTTTCTTTATGCAAAAAGAGAAAAACTTGTACACAAGGTTATCTTTAAAGATTGTTTTATGGAAAATCCCCACAATTTTAGATGCAATATTACGGATAAAAGTTGTAAGTATTAGTTAATTGTTAAATATTGAAGTTGTGTTTTAATATTTGTACAAGAAAGACATGAAAGTATTTATATCAGATTCAGTCAAATAGTGAGTTCATATAAAACTATTAATAATGGTGATATTATATCAACAATATTGGGTTGTAAATCAATGGAAGTCGGTCATGGCACGGTGGCCAGTATGCAAGCCAGTTTTGTGTTTGGGTTTTTGAGTCCTAGATATACACTTGACTCACAAGAAAAAAAATTATCATATCATTTCTTCTTACTATCTATTCAAGGAAACTATAATCTCTATATAAACTCTGAACTTCTAAGTATCTATCCAATCTTTCTGAAGCTCATTCCTAGGTTGCGCATCATATTTTTCATCTCTTTCACAAACTTGCGGTATTCCTCATAGTTGCTGGTTCAATTGTAGTTCTTTTTTTTCGTTACAGCTAATATTGTCTGATGATGCTGTCTGATGGTGGTGAGAAATTGTTGAATTTTCTTCTCCGTTAACACCAATTCTTTGCTTTCGTAGCTTCACTTCATGGAAAAATATATTCATATATATATTTTTCGTATCATATAGTCACATGTTGACATTGATTTCTAAGTGGGTACAATAAACCAAGAACTTTAAAGCGATCTTTACATGTGATTTTTACAGCGATTATGCGGGAGAAATCTGGCAGCTTCTCGCTCTCACGCTCTCGCTCTCACGACAGCTGAATAAGTATAAAGCACGTGTAAGGTGAGCTTTAAGAAACTTTGAGCCATGGTTTAAAATCGGTTTATGGTAGGTAGGATTATTAATTGGTCTTTCGCTAACGAGTCTCAGTCTTTTTTCAAATATCTTTCCTTCTTTAATTTTTTTTCTTAAAATACAAAACTATGTGCATTGTTTAATATATTAATAAAAAACGTATAAACCGATGTATAATAAATATATATATAAATATTAAATAAACATTCTTGATAATAAATATAATAAACAATGGCAAATTAATGTATTTAATTACAAAAATAAATTAAAATACAAAACTATATATCCACATATATTTGATATATCCACTTTTGTTATAGAATCCATTTTCTTTTTCCTACTGCAATTCCTCTTCCTTCTTTTAAATCTCTCTATTTGTAACTTTTAATAATTAATTAAAATTAATTAATTCCAATTTCACGAATATCGGCAAAAAAATCATAATATTCAATTGTTTATTTATTTAATACTTTAATTTTAAAATTGTTGACAAAACAAAATAAAATTTATAATTTTTTAAATTAAATAGTTTGTCTAAAAACTTTTCAAAAAAAAATATTTCAAGACTTTTATTTAGTGGTAGTAACTAGTACCACCACTGTCCACTATATTTAACAAAACTTTTCAACTTTCCTGTTAATTGGTAACACTGTTGGTAACTCCGCTAACACCTGTAACTGCACTCCCTTAAACTTTGCATCCAATTACCAATTTTCGCGGGCTGGGAAGGTGTATCCCTTTCGTCGCTACTAGCATTTATTTTGGTTTCCGACTATCCTAATAACCAAAGAGGAAACTTCTGACTTTATTTGTTTTTGCCCTATTGGCAACGCTGAAACTCGTAAGCTCTGAATTGGAACAGAGCTTTCGCCGCGATCTTGTAAAATAACCCAAAGAAAGTGAAAAGAAGTAAAAGCTTTCTATAACTTCTCATTATTTCTTTCCATGTGGCGCAATGCACGTGTTAATATTATAAGTTTTATTTTAAAGTTAATTTAAATTAAAGTGTAAAAATATAATAAAAGTGATTATATATATATTATTAAAAATAATATTAATATGAATATATTCATATATATAGTGAGGAATCTGTTGCTGTTACAGGTAAGATCTTATTTAATTCTAGTCTTTTTATTGTTTTATCAAAAAATGGTTTCAACTTTTCATATAATTCACCACTGAATTGTGGAGCTCGATTTAAAAAAGAAATATTACTTATTTTTATTATATAGGTTTTAACTGCACATAAATTATTTGTTGTCGTAATATCATAAAAGGCTGAATGAGCCAGGTTTTGATAGAATTTACCAGTAGACCGAATCGACCAGCGTGCTTGTCATTTTATATTTTCCAGATAATTTCAACGCAGTTCAATTCGAGTGAGTGTTTTTATTATAATGCGTATAGGTGTAGTGATGTTGTGACATTCAGACTTCGTTTTTCTCTTGTTCTTGCCGCATGTGCGGTAGAAATTTGATGTGCAAATTTGTATCGTCACAATGTACACATTAAGACTCATATGCACACACATAGACTACAAGACAACACGACTACTGGTAGTTCTTTGTTGTACTTATAACACAGGGCGGCATGGGGTCTTCCGTCTACTGCCTGGACAGTGACAGAAAACCCGTAGTCAGCAAGCTTGCCTGTAGCTAACCCCCTACACCACGTTTAGGTGCCTACCAAGTAGGGAAAAAAAATTATACTATATTATATTTATTTTATTATTATATTATCTATATTTGATATTTAATTTATTTTTATATATAAATGCAGGTGGACTAATTTTCGAAAAAAATTACACTCACTTCAAACATTAACAAAAATTTGTACACAAAACTTAATAAAAAATATTTTGTTTCAAATAAAACGTTATTGATAATAATTAACATGATTTACAATAAGAAAAGCATGTGAGAATGAATTTAGTTTCAAATGGCTCATTCTTTAATGTGATGTAGCGTGAAGCCAGTGCTGTTTTGGACTCAATCTTATTTTGTACTTTACGCTGTGTTTATTTCCAGTTATAGGTAGGTAGGTTGGAGTGTCGACCTTGTTTCCAAAAAACCCATTTCAGCTCAAATAATGGCCATTGTGGTACCACAGTGATAGCATTGGCACGTACATAGATTGATAGGTCCCTAATATTACAGGATGTAATATTCGATTACATATTCGTTATTTTCATCTATTTCTAAGAAATTTACATTTGGTAGTGGAGTTATAAGTTTTAAATCAGTTCGTATATAATTTTGAGGAATTTTTAACGCTATTATAATACGGTAGTTTTTATATTTCATTACTCCAACTTTTATTAATTTTAATTTAAAAATATCTATATTATATTTTTCTATTTCTTCAGAGCTTAATATGCTAGGGTGAAAAATATTATGTTTTGCGGCAACTATATTATCTTGTATATGGTTAATTTTGTGTTCTAATTGCTTTAATTTTAAAATTTGTTCAAAATATAAAATATAACGCATTATTCCATCTTCTTTATTTTCAATTTCTTTATAAGTCGATTGTATTATTAATCTGTCCTTTTCCACAGCATTTTGTATATTAGTAAATGAATTATTAAAATATGAGTTAATACTAATTTGTTTATTGATAGTTGAGATTGCATTATGGTCGTTTTGCTCTATTGTATTTATGTGTTGAATAATATTTTCTCTATCATCATTATCCATTGTTCCGAACATCCACTTGTGAGCAGTACCAATAAAATTAATAAGTCCTCTTTTGTCTCTATGTGACTTGGGAATTATTGTCTTGATTTTTGTTCTTATAAGTTGAATTTCTGTTTCTATTGTATCTTTGTTTGCTAAATTTAAATTACAAACGTTTTTCTCAATTCTATCTAAAATTTCTAATACTTTCATTGGATTTATAATATGGATTACTGTATTTGTTTGAATAATTATTTCTACCTCTCGTAATTTTATTTCTAAATATCCTGCGTTTTCGTTAATTGGTGAAATTTGGAGTAGAGCTTGAATCGGTGATAAAAGCAGGAAGGATATTATTGTTACAATGACAATCTTTTATATATTCTATTCTCGCATCATATTTGTTGTGTCTAACTGTTGTTAAGAATTAGTGTCCTCAGAAGCCGCTCATGGCACGGTCGCTAGCCCGGTATGCTCGCCGGTATTGGGACGGGGTTTTTGACATCTGAGGCTACACTGCAGACAACAACAAAAAAAATAATTTCGTGTCATACTTCCTAAGAAAACAATCTACTTCTAATTTCAACTAAAATTCATGATCTATTTATTTACTTCTATTACAAATATAAATTACCCTATAACCTAAACACTTCCAAATTATTTGTCTCCATTTAATAATTTCCTTACTGATTAACAATTATTTATTTCAGCTTCTATTTCTATACTTATAATTATTTCACTCATTTCACTTTTAAAATCTCATACTAAAAATATAAAAAGAGAAAAAAAAAAACAAAATTATTTACACTAACAAGAATTAACTCGAGCAAAGTAATCTCGTTTCTTCTCGAATTATTCAATTTTTTCTTTGCTTGAATTGAAAAAAACACTCATCATACAAGATGGGAAGCGCTCGATGCCCTAC